CCCCCCCCAGCAGCCGGTCTGGGGACAAAGGAGGGCAGCACTGCACAGGGGGGGATCAGGGGCAGGAGATGTGGACAGGACTGCAGAGTGAGTTGGGGGTAAAGAGGCTGGGGGAGAGTGCAAAGCAGGAAAGGGGATGCAGGGCTGCAAGGGGGAAAGAGGGTGAGTGGGGCAGAAGAGCTGGAAGGTAGTAGATGCAGGAGCTGAAGCTGGGGAGGAAAAGAGGGCGAGGGGGATCAGAGCTGTGGGTAGGACCTGGCCACCAGCTGCACACACAATTTACCATCCAGCGATCCACCCTTTGTTGATGGACCGAACCTCCATCAATCTATCTAGCTCTTTATTGAACCCTGGTCTTCACAACCTCCTCTGGCGAGGAGTTCCACAGGTTAACTGTGCACTGAGTGAAGAAAAACATTCTTTTGTTTGTTTTAAACCTGCTGCCTATTAATTTCATTTAGTGACCCTTAGTTCTTATATTGTGGGAATAAGTAAATAACTTTTCCTTTTCTACTTTTTCCACATTTCCTTTTCTACTTTTTAGACCTTTATTTTACCTCCCCCCGCTTAGTCTGCTATTTTCTAAGCTGAAAAGTTCAAGTCTTTTTAATCTCTCTTCATATGGAACCCATTCCAAATCCCTAATAATTTTTGTTGCCCCTTTCTGAACCTTTTCCAATGTGAATATATCTTTTTGAGATGAGGCAACCACATCTGTATGCAGTATTCACGATGTGGGCATACCATGGTTTTATACAGAGGCAAGCATTGGGGAGTAATTGGTTTGAATGTTTCTGGGGAGTAGTTATTTCGAAAGAGCAGCAGTGGAGCATCCATACTACCGTTATTTCAAAATAGCTATTTCAAAATAAGCATTATTCCTCATAGAAAACAGGAGTTATTATTTTTAAATAATCAACACTGTTATTTCAAAATAATGGAGTTGGTAGTGTGGATGCTTGCTTGTTATTTCGAAATAAGGGGAGTTATTTTGAAATAACTGCCTAGTGTAGACCAGGGCTTAGATCAGTTTTTCACTGTGTGAATCAAAATGTTGCTTTACAATCAGCTGAACACTGTTCAGAATTTGGAAATCCTAACTATTCACTGGCATACTTGTGACTTCGATGAGAGTGAAGATAATGTTGTTCTATAAGGGTACATCTACACTTGCTCTCTAGTTCGAGCTAGGGATGCAAATGTAGCCAACTGAAATTGCTAATGAAGCAGGGATTTAAATATCCTGCGCTTCATTAGCATAATCTTGCTCACACGTTATTCCGCTCAACAGCTGATTCGAACCAGGAAGTGCGCTACGGGACGTGTTGGTTTGATTCAAACCCCTTGGTTCGAACTAACGTTACTTCAGACGTACCCTAACATTTTTTCTCATTCCTTCTTTAAATCCATATATTTAACATTCACACTGTCATTCACATTTATTTAATCTGAGTAACGTCTTCAGCAGTGCATGTAATCAACAATAGTCTAATCATGACAGTGAGAGGCTAGATCTGAGTATATTAAAGGTGGCCTTCTAGAGATAGCACTGAGCTAGACATGAAAATACTTTCACTAATGGCAATGAAAAGATGTCACAAAAGCAAGGGAAAG